AAACAGTTTCTGTAAGTAAGAATTCAGTCAGATCAGGTGTGCCGTCATTCACTTATCTGTCCAGTTCTCCAATTCTCTCTCCTCCCAGGACGAAGGGGCCATCACTTGTGATAGGCATTATTCTGATCTCGGCACTGAGGAAACAACCTAGAATTTGGTGAAAATGAAAGTGGACAACTTCTTTGCCTCCTGCCATTTAATAATCCAACCTGGCGATCATGATGTGCTCATGAAGCTCTGGCTTCGGCGTGGCCAGCTGAGCAACGGCAAGTGCTATTAGTATCTGTGAGGGCAGTCATTAAACTCAGAGCTGCACATCCCCTCACTTCACAACACCGTAATATCTTTTTGCTTTACGTACCCAAGTCTTGTCACTTGGGGCATTTATACACGCAGTTTTCTATCCCGTGATGCACCATAGATCTGCTGCTTCAGAGCAGACTCGTTTAATTGAGTCTGCTCCACACATGAGCTGAGTCGAACTGGACTGCGCCGCATGCAGTTGTACAAGTGGTGAGATGCATGTCAGCGCACAGAAAATGGTGGTGGTGCACTTTTGAAGTAAAGCATCTCCAATGTGCTTTAGCTCAAAACCACCCCACCGCCATTTTCTCAGTGCTGATGCACATTTCACTGCTTATACGACTGCAAGCTTGCAGTGCCGAGCCCTTTTCAAAGTGCCCAGCGCTGCGGCACTTACGTTCTAATGCCCTTAAGTTTTAATCAGAGCAGAGATGCTAACAGACCGTGAACAGGCCATACCTCCCTTAGCAGTTTCAGCACAGTTCTTTAGATGTTCATTAAAAAAACCATTTGGGAGAGAAGCCTATAACAGGGAACCAAGGGCATTTAAGGGAGAAGCTGCAGCAGAGATAAAACTGTATGTTATGGGCTAGTTGCAGGGGAGTAGCCAGCCAGGGCAACAGGTGCCTATTGCAGGGCTACCTGCCTAGCAGTAGGGCAGAGCCCTGGTTAGGCAGCAAGGGCACTGGCAGTAAGCTGCCCTGGAGCCTGAGGGGGCACACCTGCAGCTGGTCAGGGGAGCACCTGACTGGAAGGAGAGGAGCCAGGGATATAAACCTGGGCCCTGAGGCAAGGGGGCATTGCAGTCTTGAACTCAGCTGAAATGAGAGCTCCTGCCAGTTCAGGGTGGTGGGCAGTGAGAGCTGCAGATACTCATGAGGCTGTTACCTGTCAGCTTTGTGTTCTTGAGGGAAACCTGGCACCCAGCTTACTGGACTTACAAAGGGCTTTTTCTTTCCCCCTCCCTCCCTGGACACCTCATCTAACCAGAACTAAGCAGAAGAAAATTTAATAGGCATGTCAAGCCATAGATTCCCTGGTCCCAGTACGGGAGGCCTAGTTAAACTTGATTGACTAAAACTCAGGTGCCAGGTTAGGGAATGTTGAGGCAAAAGACTGAGTCAGAGGGAGTATGGGCAACATTTGAACAATGGTTAAGGGTTTATCACAACGTCCAGCCCGTTGCAGCCCTGACCACAAATGCTGTCTTGCTTTCCTGGGATGACTGGTGGAATTCCTCCGCACAAAGTTTATGGACACTCCTAGTAATCCCCTTAAGTATGTTAAAAGACTGCAGTAAGATCTGGATGTCATGCTGAGCTGAGGCTTATTAACAGCAGGTAAAATGCAAAACGTTGATGCTAACTTCACAGTGCAAGCATAGCTAGGCCATCTGAGAAGAAATAATGTGGTATCCCTTCCAGTTTATCTTCTATATTCATAATCATTTCAAGCTGGCTCCTACATGTCTGGTTACTCCTTAAAACTTTATGTTTTTCCTGGTTGTTAATCTGTTTCTTGAGACATTCCAAACCAGATAACTCCTTGTCACTCAAAAAGGTAATTAATTTAAATTGAAACTGTTTATATAATAGGATTTTCCCTGTCAGTAATGGCTTTGGGACCCTCTTGATTTACACAATTAAAAGAATGCTTTGGAGAGGCTGGGCTAAGGTTATAAGAAAGGTGTAAAGCCAGCAAACAGTGTTCTTCAAGAGGGAGAAATCTCTCTGACACCATCCGCTGTTGTTCTCAAGAAGCTACAATAAATGGATCGTCTCTGTTTAACCTTCAACGATCGTGCTGGGAACCTTGCTTGTCAACAAAACGCCCAAGTGCCTTGAAATGGTGAGATCCCAGCTCTCTCTCTCTCTATACATAGTTTTCTGAACCTGAATTGTAAAAGTTAAACTTGAGCCAGGTTTCCCTAAATACTCAATTGAACCAGGGTAATATTGTAATTGTTTTTCCTTGCATGGCTATTATTACCATCATAAATTTTATATACTTAGCAATAAATAACTTTTATAGTCAAACTGGTGGTAACCAGGTGTATTTTTCCTTCTCCGCGTCCCCTTTCCCACTTGCTCTGCAGCAACATTTCTTTTACCTAAGCAAAAGATCCCTGTAAAGCCCCAAAATACTGTGAGGTCTGCTCATCAAGAGGCTACCACTACCAGGACAGTTGGGGCAAAAGATTGGGATGTGCGGAGTTTGAGACATAAGGGGATCAGCTTGTATAGGCTGATTGACCCAGTTTGGCTCAGACATGCCCAAGTGAACTGAATGCTGGCCCATGAGGGTGTCAGCTGGACTCCCAGCCTGATTCAGAGGTATGCTGTTCACCTGTGTGCTTGTGTCTGACTGCATTTTATTCTTGCCCTGCTCAACTGATGCCTTGCATATGAGGGTGTCAGCCCATACATGCTGATCAGACCAGCCAGGTCAGGCGTGTCACATTAATCTGTGTGTGTGTGTGTATTTGGTGGCTGGAGGAACCTAGCCCCGCTGAAACTGAGTCCTGCAAAATAGCTCCATTGGGGGTAAGGACTTGCAGAAGTGAGTGAGACAGCTCCATACAGAAACACAAGTAACACATTGAATTACCCCAGAAATGTACCCCTAATAAATGAGTACATCCGAAAGTGATGGGCAAATCTGATACCAAAGCCTCTGAACAGCAGGGGTTACAGAAAGGGCAAGCCAGGCAAGTCACTCTAGCTGTTTTGGTTTCTGTGCAGTAGTTAATGTGCATTTAGACGTGGTTAAGAAATGAGGAAGAAAAATTCCAAAGTTTATGGGTAAAGGCAGATATACTGAGGTCCTATAAATCACAGCCTTATCTGATACCAGATGCAGGTGAACATGGAGTAATTCTCCACATTCATAAATCATTAACAGAAACGACGCTGGCACATTCCAGGTGCAAAGCAAGGTGCGGGAAGAGGAGTGAGCCAGAGGGGAGGGGAGTAAAAGGGAGAATGTGTGGGCTGAGAGGAAGCAAAGCCACACACTTTTAACTATGAACTCTCATTCCCCTGCACCTTAGTTGAGGGTCTGTCCCTGTTGTAGTACACGTAGCTCTATTGAAGTGAACACAGCCAGCTTGCTCTCCACCTCTTATAGACCAGATGCAGGTGACATGAGCAAAGGATTTGGACATGAACTGTAAACAACACAAAGCAACCTCCTCCCAGATTTATATTTGGTTCCTTGACTCAGGCAGCGCAGAGTGGCACCCACTAGATGGGGCTGCCAGCAGCGATGATTACGTGTGCATTGCTTCCCGGCTACACAATGATTTAAGAACTGTTGCTGGATGGGGGAAAAGTAATCATATTTTAAAGCTTATGCCTTCTGCAGCTTGGTACTTGCTGAAGACAAACAATCCTTTCACAATGCAAATGCTGTCAGGCCGGTACCCAAAGTCAGCGCCAAATTGTTTTCTGCTCCAGTCAGGGAACAAGGCACTTAACCACTCTTATTGAGAATTGTGTCCTTCATCTTTTACACATGCCAAACTCCAAGTGATGTTAGTCGACTGCCGTTACCATCAGTGGAAGTTGTGTGCAATGACAAACTAGAAGGGAGAGCCAATATATCCTACTAATAAAGGGAGAGCTAATATATCCTCCGCCTCTGAACACAACAGTGATTAACCTGGTTCACAGAGTTGATTTTTTCAGGTCAGATTTTACCTTTTGCTTCTAATAACAGATAGACCACTTGTAAATAGGACAGTTGAGACCTAGACCGAAGAGAGAATAAATCAGGAGTGTAATGCTGGGGCACATGGGCCACAAGCCCTGGGTGCTCTCTGGTGAGGGGGGGGCACCAGACTGGAGCTGTGGAGGGAGGGCCCTCATCCACCCCCACCTATCCCTCCTTTCCTCCCCTCCACACCTTGCCCCTTCCCTGCAGCAGCTCTAGCTCCAGCAGCAGAAAGGGCAGAGATGTGGCATCTCCCCGAGCGGCAGTGAACCTCTGCCTCCAGCATGTGCCAGCACCACCCAGGGCACAGTACTGGCCAGTTATGCCTCTGAGGCTAACATTTCTATGTCACACGTGTTCCTAAATGTTTGAATTTTCTTGTCCTAGTGAATGGATTATCCCAGCACATCCTCATATAGTGTCTCCGCAAGTAGGCCTGTATATGTGAAATAACCAGGAGCAGAGGATATGCCTGCACTCGTCTTTTGTGGAACAGAGAGAAGTTCTTCACTGCGCTCGATGGTCCGACTTCAACTCAGCGATTACACCAGTGAGCTTTTTCAACCCTATCAACTCTTGCTTAGGTGGAACAGATGCATGTGCAGGCACTGATGTTTGGTTTGGGGTTTTTTCACTTCTATAACCCTGCTGAAATCAGTGAGAAATTCAGGTGGAAAAGAAAAAGGAAGGAGCAGTCCCTCCATTGTGCTATAAGACAATCTCCCTGGCATCCAGTGAGGACAGAAAGAAAAAGGACTGCAAATAAACAGAGGACAAAAAGACCCCTGCTAATCGTGCAACAGGGCAGCGGCACGATTACAGCTACAGGTGAGAAGCCTGGCTTGTCGCTGCCGCCAATGTCTCCTTGGAAACAGGACGGTAAACTCCAAGTTCCTGAAAAAGGAGGTGGCCAGGATGTGTAAACACGTAAACTGAGACAGACAGACAGGGAATCTCTCCAGTCGGTTTTGGGGCTTGCGATAGCCCTGCACCATTAACGTGAGCTGCCCAATCAGAGCCAGAGGGCTGTGACAAGGGGAAGGGAGGAGGAGGTGCGGGGGAGACAGGACAGCTTCCCAAGCTGAAGGAGAAGAGTGTCCATAGTTTCAAGTAGAAGCAACAGGTTCCAAATTATCATTCAAAGGTAAAGGTTTTTCTCTTTCATTTGCTACCTGGAGATTTTTACGTATTAATTATACTGGGTTTCAACAATAGAAGATAGTCAGCTGTTTTATTATTAAAGCTAAAGCCACAGCAAATAATGATACTTTTGCTCCTTGTGATAGAAAGCAGACCAAAGCTGCTGAGGGGACATCGTAGAGAGGAGAGGTTTAAAATACGGCAAAACGATGCATCAGCTGATGGTTTCAGGGTGCGGTGCTTCTCAAGTGACAGAACAGAAACTTGGCAAGCTGATGTGCTGGTTCGATGCTCGCAGTATCTGCACGGGGTGTTACCATTAAAAACAACAAGGGATTGGCGTTCGTTTAGATGATTCTGTTTTCACAGGATGTGACCTCTCGGCATTAGGAACAGCATGCTACGTGGTGCTTAGACAGGTTGTCACTTTTGGACCGCTACGGTCATCTATATAATAAAGCCTTTTTGTTCACTTGTCACACCAATGTGTGTTTAGGGAGATAAGGTTGGACTTTCTAAGAGCATTCCCTGGGGCTCAATACAGACTTGGCTTGGCAGCGTGGAAGGAGGTGATATACAGAAAGACAGATGAAGTGAGCCAATCATTCCTCCTGGCCTTACAGTTCTGATTGCAAGGGGATTAGGCACCCAGATGGCATTACATTTCAGTGAGTGCACCTGACCTCTTTGAAGATACCTGCCCGGCATTTCATTTTGCTAAGGAAAAAATTCAGCCCTTGACCAAATCACCATAGCCAGTAAAAGTCAACAGATCAGGCTAAAACCTGAAGTTATCCCATACAAAACTGTTTAATGTTAAGAAATTAAATCAACAAATCAATATATCCTTCTTCACTTATGAGTGTTATCTGCTGCTCTCATGGAGTAGGAAATCAAGACCCACAAAAATCACTATAATGACATTTCCATTTTTTTCACTGCCAGTAACATTCATAAACCACATGCAAAGCAACACTATTAAGCATAAAAGTACAATCACTTAGGGCTAGATCCAGAAACGGACTTGTGAGTTGGGTGCTGCAATGCTTAACTCGGAGGCACTGGGGCCTGAAGCATAGGTTGCCTGTGCAGTAGGTGAGGAGAATTAAGCACTCCCGCAACAACCAGCACACTGAGTAAGTAGGGAGCCATCTAGAGACAGCCCATAAGCAGATGCCAGTGACAGGGGGTACCTTCAGCCCTGCTCCTACCTGGGATTTAGGCACTCTATGATGTCTGTCAGGAGGCACCTCCATCCACTTAGACCCCACAGCTCAGAGCCTTCCCCAGAGTGCAGGTAACTACGTCCTTTCAAAAGAAGCGGCACAAGTTTCATGGCCAGAAGAGGACATGGTGGGGGTAGTGGGACCCCCATCCTACAGTGCCACCTAGCTCAGCCACAGTCCCATTGTACAGGAACCTCAATCTCAGGGATTACAGTCCCTCCTCCAAGGACTGTTGGCATATTTTTCCAGTTACTGTTTAGTGTTAAACCACACGGTCTTTAGAGGAGGGGTTGGACCCCAGATCCCCCTGCTAAGGTGAATAGAAAACTGTAAGGATACAATGTCATGCCCTCGCTTGCACAGCATCTCCTTTCCCCTTAGCCCAATACATTTTGCATTTGGCTGCACTGTTTCAACAAGTAGGGTGGAGCGTGTCCCTAGCAAATGATCCTGTATCCTGGGGGCTTAAGGAGTTCTCCTGGGTGGGTCTGAATCCCTGAGACTGAGGAGGGTGGTGTTGTCACCACTACTATGCTAACTCTAGTTACAAGAAACTGGGGATCTGCCATGGTATTTTCTCCAGAGCCCAGTACAGTGTTTTGTACAGCAGTTGGTGTGCTTCTGGAACATGCACCAAATCAAGTCCCGGCGGTAAGAGAGAGAAATACATCTGGTTTCTGGATCCCAGTTATTGTTAGGCATAAGTTTCTCAGCCCTGTCAAGACTGAGGTGCTTTTTCCAAGATACCTACAAGCAGGATGGGAAGTATTTAGGGACCTTTACATGAAGGCACATGTGAGGTCCCTCAAGGTTTAGATAGCAAGTGGATATGGTTTTCAGGATCTCATTTTTGCACCCAATGCAATGTTTTTAGGTACCAAGTTCCCATCAGTTTTTATAAAGTTTATTTTCCAAATACCTTTGAGGATATTTGTTTCAGCCTTGTAGTTGCCATATGTATTTCTGATCTTCATAACTCTGGGTAATAATGTTATCAGAGTGGACGTGGGATTCTACAATGTCTCTCAGACCCTGAGTCCATCAAGGTCACACTTCTGTGCAGGGTTGCCGAAGATACAGTATAGGGATCAGTTCTGACCTATGAGAGAGCTGGACTGAGGGATTTAGAAGCAATTTGCTAGTCACGATATCAAACAAGAAGTAAAGCCCTACTTCAACAATTAGATCCACTTGTGCAGCCCATCAGTGGAGCTTCACATGGGCCACAGTGCTGAATCCAGCTGCTGTGGATTCACAGGCAAAAAGATATTTTTCATTTTCATCAATCCAGTGTTTACCATGCTGTTACTTTAACTTAGTTTCTTCTGTGAATGCAAAAGAGCCAGCTTTATCTCTGGTGCAATTTCACTGATTGCAGGGTCTCTAGACACCAATTGTGAAGGGTGCTGCAACCACTACACTGACTTGTCCTCATCAAGCAGTTTTAACATTCACTCCAGCCAGGTACCCTCAGGTTTGCGGACCAGAATGATTTAGGGCTGAATGTCCCCCGGCTCACACCTTTACTTTGTCAGATGGAGAAAATTGGTACAAAAAGGGGAGGGAAGTATGGAATACCAAGTATGATCACAGAAACTCCAGTTTTTTCTTTTTACTTGAAAGTTACCCCCAGGTCCATGCTTTCTGCAATCTGTATATTAGGTGCATGGAACAGACACAATAGAAGAAACCCCTGCTGCCAGTGAAGGAGAAGAGATGCTGGGAAGACAATGCATAGAAGAGAAGTCCTGTGAGAGACTACTGAAAACGAGTTCTGCTTTTGGAAGCACCAGTATTTGTTGCAGAACAGTGTGATGTAGTCCCAAAGTGTCCCTGCCCCTTGATCCTTAATCATGCTGCTGCTATATCACACACACTGGCATTCCTCATCACTTCTAGGGATTCATGAGAGTCAGAATTTATTTAAAACTGTCCAAAAGAAACCCAGTATTCAAAAATCAGCTGAGATTGCTTCTCAGGTACTTGGCTACACATCCTCAATCTATTCAAAGTTTTGGGACAAGATTCCACTTCTGTACTGAAGGCAAAATTCTTCTGTATATTCTGTACTTAATTATTAGATACACATTTTAAATAACTGTGAATAGATATTCACTGTTACTAATTCTCTGCAAAGAGTCTCAGGAACAGCAGTCAGGGCTTTCCTGCACTAGATGTATTCCACTGAGTAAAGATACTGAAAGAATTAGGGTCAGGGCCAGCAGCTTTGCTGGTTTTAATACGAGATAGTATTATCTTCATCTCTTCTTCACTGAAAGGAGCTGTTAGGCTTTGATTTGCAGTCAGTGATTTTAGGATGGATGTGGTTTTCTGCTTGATGACCTTGTCAAAACTTCTATCTGGTTCTGGAAAGTTGCCATTTGTAACTAATACACTTGCGATGGCATTTGGTTGAACAGGACAAAGTCTCTGTGGCTTGCCCTCTCCAGTTAGTCTCTTGCTGATTGACCAAGCCTTTTGGCTTGATTGGATCTTGTCTATGTTTTTTATCATATCTAGCCACCCATTCCTCTTCATCTCATTTAGGTGGAGCTCTAGCTCGTTGGTGGTGTGACATCTAGCCATGCTATCAGGTGGCTATTCTGTGGTCTGCAGTAGTTTGCTGCATTTCTCACCCCAGCAGGGTTTTTACGGTGCACTCTGGGGGTGGTGGCATGGGCTGTTATGAGGATCATGGAGGTGAAGTTAGTGATATTTTCAGCAGTTCATGTGCTGAATCCTCGATCGTCTCAGAGTATAATAAGCAATTAGCCTTACAAAAGTTCCATTTGGATGCCAGTTACTTTGTGTTTCAATTACTGTATTGGTAGTTGTTATTATCAATGTGGGGTTGGTGTTGTGATTTGGAAAATTGGCTTAATACCCTTATTGCTGGTGCTGTTTGTCTGCTAACCCACTGCACCAGGTCTGAGCTGGTCTCAGTGCCCCATCTGCCAGATGTGAAGGTCTCTGGTTGTTTAGGGTTGTGTATGAGCAGTATGTTGTTGATGCTTGCCCAAGTGACTAGTGTTTCTCCATTCTTATTGTTCCCACAGTAGTCCCAATCAATGTGTTGGCTATTGTAGTCTCCTGCAAATAGAGCAGGCATCAGCATAGTCAGGATTGTGTCACATGTTATCCGTGCTTGAGGCAGTTTGTACGTGTTCATGATAGTGGTATCTGTGGTTCTTATTGCTGGCCATTCAATCTCCTGCTGTGGTGTACACTTCTGAAGGAGTACGTAAGGTAGGTTGTAGTCCATGAAGGTAGCAATGCTGTGCACTCAGCTCAGTATAGAGTCTGCAAGTACATAACCTGGTATCTTCAATCTCTGTGTAGTTGCACAGTGAGTCCCTTATAAGAGGACCACATCTGGTTTGTACTTGATAGTCAAATACTCAAGCATGTTAATCTTGAAGATTGTAAGACCTTTGACATTGAGTTGTAATATTGTAAGGTTCATGATGGCTCAAGTAAATTGACTAGTTGCTCTGAAATGTTCTGAAATTGTTTCAGTGATGTACTTCATTTCGCTGTGGAATGGACTCCTCAGCTACTCACAGGATGCAACATGGGAAAGTATACTTCTTGCATCCCATCCAAAAAATCCTAAGCATTCCCCATGTGGGGTACTCATTATACAAGATCTTTAGGAAGAGGATTGGAATAATTGATGCACTTGGTCCTAAATATCAAGTTCCCAGAGGATTGTGGTGGTGTAATTTGTAAAGCTTGCAAAGATAATACTAATATTTAGTACTTGTCTTTTTTAACTACA